TGCAACTTACAGCTCATTGCTCTTTGTTGTTGGCATGAATTCCTCCAGATGATTGTATGTGTTCATGACAATGTTCAGCAGCACTGTACCGTCACATTTGGATTGGAAGTACTTGTTCAAGGGAACTGTAAATCGAGGGTACAAAAATGTATAAATCCTTGAGCACATCCTAATATTCTTATTGTTCTGTACATTTTTTTGCAGTATATTGCTCCAAATTGTCTAGGAAGTGTTCCCCACCCTTTTTTTTAGGTACACATGTAGATAAGGCAAATTTCCATAAAATTTTTTTCAGACCAGCAGATTTTTAAAAAATGTTCTGTGGACTGGCAAAGTTTCATAAAATGCTTCCAGACTCAAAAGAAGTTTTGCTTGAAAGACTCAATGACAGGCATAAAAATGTCTCCTTCTTTGCACAAATCAAAAACGTTTAAAGCATATATATATAGTGGAATGTCTTTAAAATTAAAAAGGTGGGCTTGAAGAAAGGTTTCTTGGAATGCAAAATATAGAATGAATTGTTTCAGCAGGTGAAAATTTGTCTGAAGTGTTGGAGAAAAGCTAACTCATACTTCTTCATCAGATAGTTTCAACTGCCATTGTCTTTCCAACATTTCAAATAGAAAATTAGAAACACATTATTGCCATTTTTGTTAATTTATTATGCAGCAGAAAATTTCTTGCAGACCAGCAAACAACTTCTGAGGACCAGCGCCAGTCCATGTCCCATGGGTTGGGGAACACTGGTCTCGGAGACTTCAAATCCAGCACAGCAATTTAATTTAAATTGCATGTTTATAAAGGCGGGTAACACATCTATGAGATGTTTTGTGAACTTTGAATTATTAAAAAGCTAGTTTTTAGGTCAGGTTTGGCTATACAGTAGTACAGTACTTTTTCATCAAATTTCTAATTGAGGAATTACTTTCCTGATACTGTATTTATAGAAATGAAATTTTCTAAATCACCAAAGCCCTACAATAATTCATGTGAAGTACCATAGGCATTGGTACAAAACTTCTTTTTGAAATTTTATGTTAAAAGGGTTTTTTCATACTCAGGGACACGTTTTTCAAAACGTCCCAAGATTTGTGTGTGTGTCTGATGACTCTTATCTGAAGCACAAAGCAACCCATTTTATCAAAAGAAGTCCTAACCTTTGGACTGCAAAAATTTTCCATTTCACTTTTTCTTTTTCTCTCCATATAGTCCAATGCATTGGAAAATTCTCCCTGAATTTGGTAAAATTTGGAGTCCCTATGTAGCAACCCAGCCCACACATATTAGCTCACCTTCAATGCTGTCAGTTGGATAATCGAACTTCTCCTTCAACCCTTTGTCCCAAATAGTGTCAGAGTAATTTGGAAACACAATGGGAGGAGACTTGGCCAAGTATCCAATCCTGGCCACTCCAAACTTGGACACTGCATACAAAAGAACATGAACAATTATCCAAACTGTGACCTTGATAACCTTCCTGCAGTAGAGCCAGGATTTGCTTGCGCACAAAATGTGCATCCAAAAAAGTTTTAAAATGTGAAAATATGACCCCAGGGGATATAGCTTAGGTTTGTAAACATTCATTTTTTTTGCCTTTTCATTTTCAGGTTTTTAGGGCAAGGATGAAGCATGAAAGTGCATCCCATCCAAGAATGTATTCTTGACCTATAAGTCTAAACTAATCAAGGAATAACTTGAGGGAAAATTAGGGCACTGATAATTTATTTTACTGGATTCTTTTCTAGAGTTAGGCCAAAAAAAAACAACAAGCTTTATGATCAAAACAAAATTTGCTGAAACCTGATGTCACCTAAACCCTTCTACAGGGAAATTGAGGAATTTTTTGCATAATCTTGTTCCCAAGATCATTGAAAAAAAAACATCAACTGGGATTCAAGGCCTAATTAAGTTGGGAGAAACTCCTATACAGTACTTATTTTCTGCCAGCAGGACATTTTTGCTGAAAAATGAAAATAATCCTTACAATGGGCAGAAGTTTTTTTTTTGCATTCCTAGCATATAGGATTAGCATTGCAGGTATCTGAAAATTAAAGTAATTACTCTTCCAATTCTTTTTAATGTCAACCTTCTCAAGCTAGGTGACATTTTGGTGACCCTCAGTCAGACTGAAACATGCCTTGAGGGCAAAATAATTTCCCATTTTGCCCAGAGATGGAAAAGAGGCTGATGATGATGCTGACACCTGAATGCGGGCTATAATAACGTACCAATCTCATCTGAAGGCACATCCACAAACTTGGTGGTTGTCATATCATTCGGCACACTCATGCTGTTGGCCAAATTCATGAAGTAATCTTCCTGACTGCCCACGAGTTTGGATGCCCCCGGTTTGTACCCTGCTTCACCGATGGATTCCCAGGCTTCCCGATTGCCCTTCAGCATGGACGAAGTGGCCGACATAGACGTCTATAATAGGGAGCGAG